GATTAGCAAACATGAGAGCATAAGCTACGGCTGTCGAAGAGGGCTTGACTTCAGTGTGTTTGCATTTCTTTAGATGATTTAATATGAATTCAGTTTGAAGGCACAGTTATATGGGATGCTCAACAGATGACTTGCTTTGAAACAGAGCTTCATTGTGAGTTCAGAAATCACCTGCTCAGTTTTGTTCATATACAGTGTTTCAGTCTGATTTTGTAAAAGACAATAAACAAATGTATATTTTTGGATGAAAATTGTTGTATGTTTAATTTTTTATATCAAATAACAAGATCATCGTTACACTTCCTTACAATAATTAAAAGACTCTACATTAAATAATATTTTCATAACAAATAATAGAAAAGGGCAACAAATAATGTGTTGGATGTTGTCATTCATCTTTTCGTCCTCTTAGATTTCTTGAGACTTCTTTTCTCTTTGTCTGCGTAATTTAACGAAGGCCTGAGCTTCTCTCTCGCCTTTCCTGGCCTCAAGTAACTTCAAGGTATTTTCACCTACAAAAACAGACAGCATGAGCTCATATTCAATTGCTACACATGACATCGAAAATAAAGTAATAAAAAAATATATATAGACACTACTGTCAAAAAAGTTTTTATAGAAGTAGCTATGGGTGTGTATATTGATAAAAAAAAATTCAATAAATTTTTTCTCTCTTTGAATATATTTTCAAATGTAATTTATTACTGTGATGCAAAGCTGAATTTTCAGCAGTCTACTCCAGTCTTCAGTGTCACATGATCCTTCACAAATTATTCTAATATGCCGATTTGGTGCTTAAGAAACATATCAATATTTTTGAAGAAACCATGATTTTTTCCCCCGTTTTTTTGATGAATAGAAATTTCAAAAGAATGAAATATAATTTTTTTGTAACATAATGTCTTTACTGTCAGTTTTGATCAATTTAATGTGTCCTTCTTGACTAAAAAAAAGTGTTAATTTTGTTATTCCAACTTCACATTTTCTTTTGTGAAACATGATCTACCTGTTAACAATTTTACATAAACAGTACAGACATTTAGTTGCTTAATGCACAAGTAAATGCTGTGCGTATAACAGGAAGTGACATACTGTTGGGTTTGGGGTGCATCAAAGGTAAGCGGATCTGTGCGGGTGTGGGATTGTTCTGTCCACCTCCGACTCCTGGCACCGCTTTAAGAGAGAGGAACGCCTCTCCTTCGAAGTCATCGCTCCTCAAAGTGTCATGGTCCAGCACTGTCACCATCAGACACGCTCCAGGAGACTGGCACTGATCTAATGAAATGATACTGTGCCCGCCAGAGGACAGAAACTGCATTACAACCATAAAACAACAATCTAAAGCCAGCCATCTCTATTCAGTTTAACAGTTTGTATTTGCTAATCCTAATATGAATTGGGCCTACGAGTGAACACAGGTGATACAGGTTACTGGAAGGCTTTAAAAACCCTCAATTTGGGCTTTCCACAAAAAGAGCTGGAAATGGACATTTGAATGTGCCATCCATGAAGTTTTGAAGGAATTAGTGTGATTATTCGAGTGTGTGGTAAATAGAAGACTTTATTTAAGAATAAGAGGGATTTTTTTTAAGGAAGCCTGTTCCCGCCACTGAATAAAAAAATTAAAGAAGGTAATTGCGACTTTATATCTCACAATTCTGACTTTCTTTTTTTTCCTCACAATTGCGAGTTCATATCTCGCGATTCTGATTTTTTTTTTTAATTGCGAGATATAAACTTGCAATTCTGAGAAAAAAAAGTCAGAATTGTGACTTTATAACTCACAGTTTTGACTATAACTCACAATTTTGACTTTATAACTGGCAATTGCGAGTTTATATCACGCAATTTTGAGAAAAAAAGTCAGAATTGCGAGTTTATATCACACAATTCTGAGAAAAAATAGTCAGAATTACGAGTTTATATCAGAATTGTGAGATAAAAAGTCGCAATTACCTTGTTTTATTTTTTAACGGGCTTCCATACTTTTTCCCTTCAAATTGTGACTATTTTAAAATTCTATTTTTTCATTTCAAATTGTGACTTTATTTTAAAATTCTATTTTTTCCCTTCAAATTGCGAGTTTATTTCTTGCAATTCTCACTTTTTCTCAGAATTCTGACTTTACATCTTGTCATTTTGTTTTTGTGTTCTTTTTTTAATGCCATGGAATAAAAAAAATAAAAAGGCAACTTTTCTAACCATTTTGACTTTTTCCCCACAATTGCAAGTTTGTATCTCACAGTTCTCACGTTTCTTCTTAGGATTGCTCATTTATGTTTCACAACTGCAAGTTAACGTCTCGCAATTTTTTTTATTTATACATTTGTTTCCCCCAGAATTTGAGAAAAGACAGAATTGTGAGATTACCTTTATTTATTTATTTTATTCCATGGTGGAAATAAGCTTCCATGCTTTTCCCTTTCACTCTTCTATGAATCTAGTAGCTGGGAGCTATGAGAGAAGAGGGTGCATTGTTTGACTTTGGATTCTAAAAATGAACTGAAACCGCACATTTACATACAATTCAAAGGACTCTTCGAACAACGGGTTGAGATCGCAGTTCTTGATTTTGGTGGATCGCGGTTCTACTTGAGGGAACATGTGCTTTGGTTCTAGAGACAGCTGAACGAAAGGGTCACTGGAACCTGTAATGGACAAAATGCAGTTTCATAGACTCAACACAGACTCAAAGCGGCCAATTCTGATATTCATCTAAAGCAATGACATTCAGATCATTTCAAGTATTGGCAGTGTCAGAGCACCACTGATACAAGACCTACTGGCTCTTGATTTATCAATTTCTTCTATAAATCCCCCAGAGTAATCAGCATAGCATAAAATGTGTTTGTCTTCTCACCATTTGAGTCGAGAGGAATTAGATTGACGGCGTTGAGAACCTCTACATGCAGTTTGTTCTCTGAGCGTTTGTACGAGGTGATGAGAGTAACAGCTCCGTATTTCTCTCCATTAAACACTTTCTGTAGCAAATGTAAACAAATCCAGGTCAGTAACACTTCGTTGGGTCTTATGGATGATTTCCTGATCTGGATCATTTCCTCACCTGTTCCCACACCTTTCTCTCAAAGAACTTCTCTATCAGCTGATTACAGCTTAACGAGTTTTGTGTCAGGTTTGCCCGGAGCGTCTGAGGAAACAAAAATCAAATACTCATATCTGAATGGGAACGAAAGGGAAGAAAACAACACGTGAAGAGCACAAAAGAATAACACTGACCTTATATTCCTCAGTATGTAGTGTTTCAAGAGAAAGTCCATTCCCTTCAGCATGAAAACACTGTTCTAAGCACTGCCAGAGAAAAAAAAAGTAAATAAAAGTATATTTCTGAAGAAAATATAAGGTGGTTGCCAAGGCATTGCTAAGGTGTTCTGAGTGTTTTAATGTGTTCTTGGGTGGATTCTAAGTCTGACAGTTTAGAAACAAACCACACTCTTTGTGGTATCGTTTGTGTCTCTTTCACAAACAGTACGAGTCCAGTTACATGCTAAAGTGTAATATTTAGCATTAGGCTAAAAAACGAACCTGCAGTGCGTACAGTAATCTCTGAAAGTAAACCAGGTTACTGTCCTCCTGCAGAGACATCTGATGCAGAATCTTAACCGAGTTCATCCACAATGGAGTAAGAAGACTGAAAGAGACCATTAAAACACATCATGAAGGCTGATCAACTAAAGTAAAAACAACCAAAATATACAGATATAGGCAGGTTGAAAATAAAACATTGAGATACCTATTAAAATTCTCCTGAACCAAATTCTCATTCATATACTGCAGTTCTTTCTCAAGATATTTCATCAAAGGAACCACGGCCTGAAGATAAGAGAGCCAGACACTCAGTGCTGCAGTGGTTTCGAAAAATGTCATTTTATGATTCAGGCTGACAAAACATTTCTCTTACGTCTTCTGTAGATCTGGAGGGAAGCCTTTGACGTGAAGCCATGTTGCGAACATGTGTTTCAATGTCTGTGTTTAACTAAAAAGAGACGCAAGAAACAGTTACACTTGATTTCAAGTCCACTTTAGATCTATTAACTTTGCAACTACATGCCATCTAACTCTCATTACAGTATTAGTAGACTGTTAGGTTAAGGTTACAGTTACAATAAGATGACATGTACTTGCAAAGTTACTTATAGTCAATAGAATGACCATCAAAATAAAGTGTACTCAGATATTAAGCAGACAGTCTAATAATACTCTAATGACTGTTAGTTGATGTAGTTGCAAAGTTACTTACAGTAAGCAAAATGTCAAAAGGTGACTGTCAAAATAAACTGTTACCCCAAGAAACATGGTAAAATGTGTGTTCTGGTTGTTGTGAAAGTGTCTTATTGCACCTTCTCAGGAAGAGCTCATGTAGATGTGAGACTTTAACTGATGCTATTGATGCTGTAATCACAGTTATGCTACCTTTTTCCCGAGTGTTTCAACTGCAGAGCGGATCTCTCGGTTCAGGGCGGACTGTGTGTGTTGCAGCTGTGATGGAAGTGTGTTCTGGAACTGAGTATCTCCAATCACGTGTCGCGTGCGTTCCCGGAGCCCCGCCCAGTTTAGCTGCTGCGGTAGACGTGTCAAAACTGTGTGCACATGCTCTAGATCGTTCACCACCACGCACAACTAAATATACATAAACCATGAGAAGTTAGGGTAAAACATGCAGATGATCAAGCTAAAACACAGTGCAAAGTTAAAGACCACACACCACATACAGTACCACATCATCATCAGCTCACCATTTTTATTGCACTTTCTCGATCTGAGTCCACAGAGAGCTCCTTCACTCGAGCCTTCAGCATCTGACAGTATGTTGATGCAATCTTACACACATCCTGTAACAAACAATGCATATTTATACATCCTACAATTCAATGAAATGCTAAACTTTGTGTGTATGTGTGTACCTCTGTGAGTTTGACCATAAGCATGAAGGCCTCCTCCGGGTCAGGCCAGCTCAACTGCTCCCAGAGCTGAGACACAGGATGCAAACATGCTGCAATGTCCACTGCAGAAGAGCTGTGCTTGATGGGAACTCCTCCAGTCTGCAGCGGCTGCAACTAGAAAAGAGAGAAAGAGAATGTGAGTGTGTAGTTCCCTTCAGCTATTTGAACTTTTTGCTTAATGGGAAATCACAAGTAGAATGACAAAACTGTTTTTTACTAATGTTAAACTTATGTTTTAGAGCATAATACCTGATCCACTTGCACAGCTTTTTCCACCCTCTCCATTGTGGTGCTAAAGGCTTTGTTTAACCAGTATGGAAGAGCATCTCTGAAGTCCTCATGGAAACTTGTGAGCTGCAATAACTTCCCCCTAAAAGAGAAATCAAAACTTCATGTTTAAAAGGAGAGTCCACTCAAACTGAAAATTCTGTCATCATTTACTTCCTCACAAGTTGTTCCTGTATAACTTTTGTTCTTCTGTGGAACACAAAAGATGATATTTTGAAGAATGCTGTTGGAAACCAAGCAGGCCATACAGTGAAAGTCAGTGGGACCCAAAACCATTTGGTTGACATTCTTCAAAATAGTTTCTTTTGTGTTCCACCGAAGAAAGGAATGAAGGAAATGTTCACCCAAAAATAACAATATTCTGATAATTTACTCCAATTTAAAGTTAAAAAACAAATTTCACTTAGTAAGATGTTAATCAATGGGATCACGTATTTGTGGATTATTGTAATGTTTTTATCAGCAGTTTGGACTCTCATTCTAACGGCACCCATTCACTGCAGAGGATCCATCCTTACTCTCATCTACATCGTGGATGGCCTGAGGGTGAGTAAACTGGAATTTTTGGGTGAACTATCCTAGACGCTAAGGAAGTCAGTACACTGGGTTGAGATTTTAACAGATTTTGAGTACTGTACATCACAAAATAATGTGTAATGTATGTAACAACTCAGAAGTAACAGCTGATTGTAGGACTGACTGACCTTTTTTGTAAGAAGGCTTTGTCTTTGTGGATGGCTTGCAAAGTGAGATAAACAGGAAACAGGCTGTTTGCCAACGGCTGATCCATTTGATTCTCCAACTGAGAGAGGGTAGCTCGTAACTCATCAGCCAGCTGTTCACACACACAAATAAGGGACAACCAATGATATACTGACCATAGAAAAAGACTGATCAGAGAAAAAATGTTTTATATGTTATATATTATATTTCTTGATTCTCACCAGAGAGTCCAGTTTCCGGTAAACCACCGTGAAAACATCCAACTGCACAGCACTGGAAACAGAGAGAGAGTAGGCCTATTTTATTATAAAGACAGTCATTACATCTTGTCAGTGACGTGATGGACAGGAATGGCTGTCAAATTAACTGTCCATTAGTTTTAGTGGCACAAATATGGCCGAAAAACTGTTCAAGAACTGTTCAGATTAGGCCTTCTCAATGAAAATGCATCCAATGAGCAGCACATATATTCAGCTCCGACATCCTGAAGAAATTCAATGTTTAGCAGTTAGTTAACTGACCAAATTACACCATAAAAAGCTAAACCTTATAGATGATATTATATATGCATTAGTTCAGTCAGGACCACTCTGTTTGAGTAAGATTATTGTAGAGGTCCTGAACTTTACATTTGGCGGCAGGCTTCGCTCTGAAGGGTTCAGATTCTGAGCTATCCACAGGCAAACCTCTCCGAGGTTTGAACCCCCCCTGAAGCCTAAGCAATTGGCAGATATTTTATATGCAACAGTTGTATATTCCAAGTAGAGTAATACAGTACTGTGGATAAATTTGAACAAATTTAGCAATGAGCTGGATAGATGATATATCTCCGTGGGCGAGCAGTTAAATGATCATGTGTCTGCAAAAGGAGGAGTTGGGGATGGAGGAGGGTAAGTGCATGTCTGTGCGACAGACTATGGCAAGTGTGAGTACAGATGAATTTATATATCTTATTAATTGTAGTGGGAGGAGTTACGATCAGCTGAGCATCAGCTGAAGCTGCAGGCATGCCGTGGTCTGCTTGAACTTTGCTTGAGTTCCATTCATCGCTCAAACTAGATTTACATTTTAAAACCTACAGTTCATTATTCTTACCTGACAAACACCTTATTCCAGACATCTTTACTGACTCGAACGTCTTCTTGCACTTCTCCAATCAACCGAGAGAGGGCGCTGATGGTCTCTAACGGATCCTGTTAAAGAGCACTTATGAAGAACCTGAACTCACATCTAAACTTACTGGAATAATATATGTTTTATCCACATATAGAATGAATGCCAATAATCTGCATGGTTTCTTACCTTGGTCATGGGTTGATGTAAACCTTTTTTGATGTTAAACCACTCTTCTGTGCCATTCTGGGAGAAAAGGAACATGGTTTAGGTGACTAGTTGCACATATAATGCCCAAAAACTGGCCTGTTTGTTCTCATATACACAGAAAAATATTATTTCAGACAGGTGTGCAAAATGTATTTTACTGTGATGTACAGTATGATGTAAGATATTTATACTGAATAGTTTTTAACAATATTTTGTTACTCACAACAACAGCATCTGTGACCTCAACATGTAAGTCAAACTGAGCAGGATTGAGCTTCTGAAATGCTCGGGTCTTACAAATCTGAACAAGAACTCTACATAAACCAAAACATAAATATACTTTTTGAGAGTATAATTATTATACATTGCATAAAAACAATGTATATATATATATATATATATATATATATATATATATATATATATATATTAATATAAAAATGAATGATGACTAACTTATGTGTGTTACCTGAGCAGTGTAAGTAGCCGTGGTGTTGTTTTAGGAGTTGGAGGATAGATGTCCCTGTATTTGGATACTAAGCAGAGTCCATACTGCAGAAACCCATGTAGAGAGTCACCAAGCTCCTGTTTCTGTTAGCATGCATACATGTTTAACGTGCTTTTAAATTGTTTTCTATTTGAATATTTTTTTAAATGTAACTTATTCCATTGATAGCTTAGCTGAATTTGTATCAGCCACTACTTCAAGCTTCAGTGCCACACAATCCATCTAAAATCATTCTAATATGCTGATTTGGTTTTAAAAGTTTAGAAACAGTTTTTTTATTTTTGAAAGAAATTAATACTTTTATTCAGCAAGGATGTACTAAATGGATATTTCACCCAAAAATGAAAATGATGCCATCATTTACTCACCCTATAATTGTTTGTATGGGTTTGTATAAGTATGACAAAAATACTATGGAAGTCAATGTTTACCAGCAACTGTTTGGTTACGGACATTCTTCAAAATATATTTTTAAACTCATGCAGATTTGGAACAACTTGAGGGTGAGTAATGACAGAATTTTCATGTATGGGTGAACTCTCTCTTTAATGCATCCTTGCTAAATAAAAGTGTTTTAAATTAATAAAAGTGACAGACACACATACATACAGTATATGTCACCAACACAAAAATGACTAGAACAAAAGTATTTGAAATGTTTGTCATGTAAAAAATGTTGGGCTTTCTTGTGACAGCAAAAACAGCTCAGCTTTACCACAGCATGACGGTGAGACTTGATGACTTGATAACAGCTTACAACACTGATGATTTATGTGATAAATTGCTAAAAACATCACATGACACTTGCAACATCCCTGCTCGTGATGCAGTGTAGAAAGTACTCTCTAATTCTGTAACTACACCCACTCTGAAATCTGTGTGCTTCAGCTTTCATATCACAGGGGCAAAATACCCCTCAAGAATCACCAACCTGCAGGTAGGGGAGTTCTTGTTGGTCCCAGTGGTACTCTATACTGGTTAGCTGCTGGAAAAGGACAGTTGAGTCCACCTCCAGGGTTTGGTAAAGTTTGCTGTAGGCCACCCACTTCCTGTGTAGCACCACAAACAACCCACACATATGCAAAAGAGATTTAAATCCATCAGCATGTGCTCCATTCATTACATTTAAACAGCACGCTGACACTGTTGAGCTCAGCGTACTGGGTATGTAGTTAAAAGCTGTCCCTAAAAAGCACAAATCAACACTGTCTGGTCTGCTGTTTTTGTTTTATCAGTCTTGCTTCCAGATCAGTGTGATGTACAGTATCACATGCTCTTACGCCAAGTCTTGGAGAAAAGGTGAAATGTCATTCTGGTTGGCGTAGTGCTCGAGCAGGGCCGTCCCCTCCCCACACAACTCTCCCTTCCACGGGTTACTGTCCTGAAGGGCGAGAGTAGAGCAGCATTGAAAAACAGAGAGAGATGCAGACAGTGTTGTGAAATGAAAAGCTGAGTACAAACTTTACAGTATATAAAAAGTACTGCGCAGCAGGAAGTGATTTTGACGCTTACACAACCAGTGGATATTTAAGGTATTTCATCATGTTTAGAGAAGCTTTCAAAAATTCTCTGTTAAAGTCATACCTGTTGTTTGGAGATATGGGCTTGAACAAACTGCTGCAGGATGCCACAGTAGTTCACATAAGGAATCCGTCCAGCACTCAGGGTCTCATCTCTCTGTAATAAATGAATCAAATTCAATTCAAATTAAGGATCTGTCATTCAGTCAATACTGAGTAAATAAAATATCTGAAGTATATTAGTCAGTCTGCAATGTTCATCTCTGGTTTGGTCTGTTTCAAAGGTGCCAAGACCAGTGTACAAGCAGACGCTTTTTTCCAGATTATATCTCAAAACTTTGTCACACTGAGTGTCTTTCACTTTAGATAGCATACTTCACATCAGTATAGTTTTGCAATTGTATGTGCTTTTGTCCTTTGTATTAGGGTTTTTTCTTAAATATTACCATTTAGATTTAATCCGTTTTTATTTCAGAATTAGTTCTTATTTATTTCCAGTAATTTTAGTGCTTTAACTCATATTTATTGCAGTTAGTTGTCAAGGCCGTTTCATCTCCATCAATGTTTTTATCTAATACTTAGATTTTATTTAGTTTCAGCTTTATTTCAATTAACAATGTGTTAATACTTTTAGTTTTAGTTATTTATAATAACCCTACCACACATTCTAATGCATAGATATTTAGGTTCAGTTTTCTAAAAAAATTAGTTCAAGATGAACTGAAAATAAGACCACATGCTCTGGTCATTCATACAGTTGCACTTCACTTTTTA